GCTTCTTTGAATGTTCAGTAAAACTCCCCTGTGAAGCTTTCTGGTCCAGGGCTTATGTTTGCTGGAAGCTTTTTGATTACTGTTTCAATTTCATCAGTAGTTAATGGCCTATACATGTTTTTTGATTCTTCATGATTGAGTTTTGGAAGCTTGTATTTTTCTTGGAATGTGTCCATTTCGTTGAGGTTGCCCAGTTTGTTGGAGTAGAGAACAATCCTTTGTATATCAGTGGGGTCAGTTGTTACTTCACCTCTTTCATTCTTTATTTGGGTCCTCTCTCTTTGTTTCTTAGTGAGCCTGGCTAGAGGTTCATCAATCTTATTTATCCTTTCAAAGAAACCAGCTCTTGGTTTCATTGATCTTTTGTATTGTTTTTTTGGTCTCTATTTTGTTTATTTCTGCTCTGATCTTTATTATTTCCTTCCTTCTGGATCCTGTGGGCTTTTCTTGTTGCTCGCTTTCTAATTCTTTAAGTTGCAAGGTTAGATACCAGTTTTCTTGTGTTTTGTTTGTTTGTTTGTTTTTGAGGTAGGACTGTAGAGTTATGAACTTCCCTCTCAGGACTGCTTTCATTGTGTCCCATAGATTTTGGATTGTTGTGTTTTCATTGTCATTTGTTTCCAGGATGCTTTTTATTTCTTCTTTGATCTCTTTGGTAATTGAATCATTGTTTAATAGCATGCTATTTAGCCTCCAAGTGTTTGATATTTTTTTATTGTTTTTATTGACCAGAGTTATATCTTCTTGTTGAATTGCTCCCTTTAGTATTATGTAGTGGCCTTCCTTATCTCATGTTATGGCCTTTACTTTGAGGTCCATTTTGTCAGATATAAGAATCGCAACCCCAGCTTTTTTCTCATTTCCATTTGCCTGAAAAACTTTTTTCTATTCCTTCACCTTCAGTCTGTGTGAATCCTTTGTTTTGAGGTGGGTCTCTTGGAGACAACAAATATATGGATCATGTTTTCTTATCCATTCAGCTACCCTATGTCTTTTGATTGGAGCATTTAATCCATTTACATTTAATGTTATTATTGATAAATACTTGTTTGTCATCATTTTTATTCTTAATGTTTGTGTTTCTTCTTGTCTTTCTGTTTCTTCTTTTTACAGAAGTCCCTTTAGCATTTCTTGCATTGCTGTCTTGGTGGTAATAAACTCTCTTAGCCCTGTTTTGTCTGTGAAGCTCCTGATTCCACCTTCAATTTTGAATGATAGCTTTGCTGGGTAGAGTATGCTTGGATTCAGTCTCTTGCTTTGCATGACTTTGTATATGTCATTCCATTCCTTTCTGGCCTGGTGTGTTTCTGTTGATGGTGTTCTTTATTGCAGCTATGTTGTTCTTCATTTCCTCTTGGTTCCTTTTCATGTTGGTGACATTCTCAGTCAGCTCCTTATAATTCTCATTGAGTTGTGTGTATTTGTCATCCAGCCATTTGAGCATCCTTATAACCATTACTCTGAATTCTTCCTCTCACTTGTTACTAGCCTCCAGTTCATTTAACTCCCTTTCTGGTGATTTGTCTTTTTCTTTCCTTTGGGGATTGGTTTTTTGTCTTCCCATGTTTTGCTGTAACTTTTTAATTGTAGATCCAATTGCTTTGCTACTTTGGTTCTTTTGGGGATGGTGCTACTAGTGTGATCTCTAAGGGCACCAGGGCTTGGTAATCTAGTGTAGCTCCTTACTTGAGCTATTTGGGTTCTCTTAATGTAGGCCTGCGAGCTGGAAAGGCACTACTGCTGTGTCTAGAAGTCAGCAGCCATGGAGGGGGGTGCCCCAATTTTTGCTGTTTTGTGCCCTTGATTGAAATCGCATGTGCCCAGTGGGGACTCACAGTGGTACCCAGGAGCCATCTGTTTGGGTGGTGAGGCTCAGAAGGCCTGCACTCTGGAAAAGCATAACTGTGGTATACAGAGTTCTGTAGTTGTGAGCAGACTCAGCTTTTGCTGCTGCCTCCGTGGTTGGATATGCATGCCCCCAGTGGCGGCTCCCAGGGACACCTGCGGTGCATTTGCCAGCAGGATGTACTGACGCACTCTGAAGGTCCCTGGCACTGAAGCCACACGATTGCAGTGTCTGTAGGCAGGTGTCCCAGATGAGGGAATTCAGAGTTTCTATAGCCCAGCAGTGTGACCCTGTTTGTATAAGTTTGTGCCCATTGGGGGCTCACAGCGGCGCCCAAGGGCTGCCTATGGAGTGGTACGCTTGGGAGGCCTATGTGCTGAAAAAGCATGTGACTGTAGTGTCCAGATTTCTGCATCTGTGGGGTGGGAAAACTCAGTTTTTGCTGCTGCGCCTGTGGTGGTGGCTCACAGGGGCACCCACGGTGTGTTTGCCAGCATGGCGCACTGAAGCACTCTGATGATCCCTGGCACTGAAACCGTGCAATTGAGGTGTCTGCGGGCAGGTATCCAGGATGAGTGAATTCAGAATTTCAACTGCCAGGTGAGTGCATTCCTGTTTGTCCACGATCACACCCAGTGGGGGCTAACAGCTGCTCCCAAGAGTGCCCTGTGGGTCGATGGCTCAGGGGGCCTGCTCCCTGGAAATGTGTGATTGTGGCAGTGTGTTTGCCAGCGCAGAGCTCTGATACACTCTGAGGGGCCCTGGTGCTGAAGTTGCACAGCTGGGGTGTCTGTGGGCAGTTATTCAGGAAGAGGGAATTCAGAATTTCTACTGCGGGGCAGCTCATCCTTATCTGTACAAAATCACACCCAGCAGGGGCTCACAGTGGCTCCCAAGAGCTGCCTATGGAGTGGTGTGCCCAGGAGGCCTGGGCACCGGAGACACGTGTCTGTGGTATCCAGCTGGGGAAGGGGGAAGTTGCACTTACTGCTGCAGGAGTGGTGCACCCTTGGAGGTGGAGGTCCTAGGGTCCGTGGGTCTACAGGTGGGGCAGCAGGATTTTGGCTGGAGTGCCTGCCGGGTCGTGGGCAGTGTCCAAGGCCTGTCTGGGTGGTGGTGCTGATGAGTTCCTAGAAGTGGCCATTCTCCCCTTCAAGATGGTGTGGGTTCCGTGCCTGAGTCCCGCAGTCTGGAGAGTGCCTGCTTCGGTGGTAGTCTCTCTCTGTCCAAAAGGGCTTGGTCTGCCAGCCCCTGCTGCTCCTGCTGTATTTAACTGTCCCTCACTCACTCACACACACACCACACGCACCCACACACTCTCCTTTTATCCCCTCACTCACGCACTTCCTCTCCCTCATTTCTGTCCTGCCAGCCGCCATCTTTTTTGAGTCTTGCTTTGAATATTTCTTGCAAATTCTTCCTGGCCTGCAAAGTTTCTTTTGAGAAATCATCTGAATGTCTTATGGAAGCTCCCTTGTAGGTAACTTATTACTTTTCTTTTGTTGCTTTTAAGATACTCTCTTTGTCTTTAACCTTTTGCATTTTAATTGAAATGTGTCTTGGTGTGGGCCTCTTTAGGTTCATCTTGTTTGGGATTCTGTACAAAATAGAAACAAAAACCACATTTCCTTCTGGATTTTCTCTGTCCTAAGCCAAGTATTTATAGTTATTTTCTTTGCAATATATGTCTTAGAATTACTCAATAATCTTGTCATTTTCCTCTAGGAATGTTATGAATCAGCAAGTGAAACTTTTCTTTATATAGCTTGATATAGGAAATTATTCTATATAATAAAAGCCAAATATGCTAAGTTTCCAGTCGTCCAGTCATCTGTTCAACCAATCAAAGTGTAATATGCTAGTGATATGCTAAGGCCGCTCAACCACTCACTATGACATGCCCTGATCACCAGGGGGCAGACGCTCCAACCAGTAGGTTAGCTTGCTGCTGGGGTCTGGGCCAATCGGGACTGAGCAAGATGGGCCAGACACATCCTGGAGGCCTCCCGCGGTCCCTCCCTGGCTGGCCAACCTCCTGCATCCCTCCCTGGCCCCATTTGTGCACTGGTGGGGTTCTTCAGCCTGGCCTGTGCCTTCTTACAATCCAGGACCCCTCAGGGTATGTCAGAGAGCTGGTTTTGGCCTGATCCCACAGGCCAGGCCGAAGGACCCCACTGGTGCACAAATTCATGCACTGGACCTCTAGTAGTTTAATAAGAAGGTTTTCCAGCCTTGAAATGATATTTCTCACATTTCAGTAAGCTCCCTAGAAAATAATATTGAAGTAAAGATTGTCTGAATAGCAGGGATGCTGTGGAGCAGAGCCTTGCATTATAACTTAAGGCCTTTACATTTATAAAATTCTTGGCTTCCAGGACACTTTTGTTGTCTGAACTAACACAGAGGTTCCCAACACTAGTATTTTGTTGGTTCCATAAACTTTAGGCCCTTAAGTATTTACAGATTATAGTGACCAGGGCCCTACTCTTTCTAGATCTTATTTCCAGTCTGATTACATGCTGCACAAAATGGGGAGAAGTAAGAAGAGGTCATTCTTCCTAACCCTGCTCTGTCCCTAGCCTAAATGCCTGAGCTCTGACAGAGGTTGAATAACTCTAAGTAGACATAGCATTGAGACCTTTAAAAATTTTTCCTGTATCCAGGGATACATTGTTGTTATTCCACTCTATCCCTAAATTCCTCCTTCTTAATTCTCTCTTTGACTCTTTTTCAGATATACAAAAAAAATGGCACATTTTTTTTAAATGTGTGTTGGAGTGTTTACCATTCCTGATGCATGCTAGCATCTTTCCTGTTTACTGGCTTCTGCGGGATAAAGGTAAGTGAAACTAGAAAAGTGATATTTTTTAGGCCATCTCTTCTTTGGCTGGTACCCTCTTCACTAGGAGGTATTTTCATAAAGCTGAGTGACCTTTAAAGCAACAGCTGGAAGAGGACTCTGAGTTCAGGTGACATCTAAAAGTCTTCAGATTCTGTTCCCTGAACTGTTAGAGGCCCAGAGTTTTAGGCTGTACTGATGGTGTCTGTCTGCCACTACTCATGGTGATAGTTGCTTGTGCACCAAGGGAAAAGACACATTCCTTCAGATCTTATGGACATTTCATTCAAAATTATGAAGTCCAGACACTCATTTACAAAACACAATTACTGATGTCACCTATAGGTTGGCTTTAAACCCATGATTCAAAACATTTTTGAATTATGGATCTTTGAAAAATGAATTAAAAAAATCTAAACTCATAATTTTACTTATTTTATTTCCTATTCAGTTTCAAAACTATTGAAAGCTATCATTTTGCCTATATACTTAGATGCTATTTAGAACTGTAATTATAGTATATCATGTACCTTATTATGATAGTATCTGAAAATTAGCAATATCTTTCATTCACTTGCAGTTACTGGGAATTATGTACATAAGACAATGACAAGGTAAACAAAAGGATCACTTTATTATTTAGGAGGGATTTTTCAAAACTATTACTGAACTGGCGCCAAACAAAGCTCATTACATATATTTGCATCTCCAGTTACAAACCCAACCCTCAAATCTTAACAAACAAATGGGCCGAGAAGACAACCCAATCAAAGTTAACTAGAAAGTAGTAATATGTAAGAATGTATAAGATGGCATTCTTTTTCCAACAGTATGGGGAAATCTGAACACCCCAAACAACTCTCTGATAACAATATATGTGTTGCAACAACTATCTATCTATCTATCTATCTATCTATCTATCTATCATCTATTAAAAATCTATATTTATCTACCAACCATTATTTGGAATATTTAACAAATAATATTCTCAACCTGAAAATCTCTATTTACCTTTAAAGATACAGATTTCATGCCATCTCTTCTGAGAAGCTACATTCTGCTTCCATTTATTTCAACATCCTTTTATAAATAATATAAGTTGGATTATTTTGTCTTCCAACAAGTCTATTCTCTCAAAGATTGTGAACTCCAAAAGGGCATTTGATGACTCCATAGGTCACAGAGCTTCATGACCTCTTTCCAAATGAAACAATCCTTGTGTGCTGAGCAAGTGAGAGAAGAGAGAACTGCATGCACACAGCTGCTGTGTGCTTTACATACACTGACTATTCAGCCTTCACAAAATGTGAAGTGCATAGTAGTCCCATTTTACAGATGAAGAAACTACATCTTGAGCTTTACCCAAAGCACAGAATTCTCCAATTTTTTATTTGTTTTCAAAAATTTGATTTTTTAAAAATAGATTTTTGTTAATTTGGGGGAGGAGGGAAGAGGGAGAGGAGGAGACATCAATGATGAGAGAGAATCATTGATCTCTGCCCATGACCGGGAGTTGAACTGTGACCTCCTGATTTATGGGTAGATGCTCAGCCACTGAGTCATACTGGCCAGACCAAAACATTTGATTTTTTAATTGTAATGATTAAACTGATGAAGTAAATTTTATTATTGTAAATGTCAATTATAAATAAAGAGTCTTAACATTAAAACTGATTTATTTTTAGCATGATAAACAATTTCTTCAAAAATATTTCAAGCAAACCATTTTGTGTGATATGATGTATTTTTAAATAACTTTCGTATATATTTATCACCCAAATGATGTAACTATGACATTTTATTAGTTTATCATTCTTTGATATGCTGTAGATATTGGGAGGTTTTATTAGAATATCCCAGCTACTTATGTAACAGTGAAAAGTGGAAAGTGGAATGAGATTCAGGTATATGTCAAGCTCACTACTAGGGAGATTTGAAACTTTGATGGGGAAAAGGGTAAATAATTCTTGTAAAATACCACATTTGAAGTTGCAATTGAAAGTAACAAATGTGTGATGACACATTTCCTTCCCTGTTCCCTCAGAGTAGCAATACAAAGAGCAAAAGTTATGCTATATAGATATCACCTCCAAGGGAATGTATTTTATGATACTGTTTTTAGAGAACAAAGGGAGATGGTAAAATGTTGCATAACTGAATTGAAGGTCAAAATCTTAAAGCACTCTGTTGATATAATACAGCAAGGTGTGAAGAAAAAAAAGACAAAGAAAAACTGGTTAGCAAACATTGTAATCCAGATTTCTATTCCTTAGTGAAAAAAATACCCTTGTAAAATATTAAGATCAGGATATAATCAAGCTAAATCATCACCTTCTCACAGTTGCTTTTGTGTAATTGCTAATTTCTAGAATGTAGGATATTCTGGGATTGTTACATTGGTATATGTGCAAAGTTTATTTTTATGAAACAGAAATACTCAAATCAGTTCACAAGATACATGCACAATAAATAATATTTAGAGTAAGAAAAAAAGTATCTGGAACACCTTATTGTTTAACTCCATGGAGTTATAAACTATGGTTATTAGAGATTGTAATTCTATGTTATTTAAGCCTCATACAAGATTATTATAATTACTAGTGGCCCGGTGCATGAAATTCATGCACAGGGGTGGGGTAAGTTCCTCAACCCAGGCTGCACCCTCTCCAATCTCGGACCCTTCAGGGGATGTCTGACTGCCGGCACTCGGACATCCCTCTCACAATCCGGGACCACTGGCTGCTAACCACTCCCCTGCTGGCCTGATCACCCCCAAGGTTTTTATTAGTATAGATATGACCCTTCACAGAAAATTTCAGTAACCCTGCTTTACAATAAGGGCTTGATGATTGAAACATTGGGTCCAGACACCAAGATTTCCTTTCTTTGAATAGTGGAGGAAATAATTATCTTGTCTAAGTTGCCCTGAACATCAAATGAGATAATGACTTAGAAAAGTATAAAAGCACCATATAAAGACAACTGTCTTTTTCATGTACTGAAAAGACAATAAAGTGGTAAAATGAAAAACACTATTTTTATTCTCCCCTTTCCTTCCTTTACAGCCTTTGTTTAAACTGAAATTTATAAAAATTTCACTCCTATTATCATTTCTTTACATTCAATATTATTTTGTATTAGTTTCAGGTTTTATATTAGTTACAGAATAGTGGTTAGACAATCATATACTTTACAAAGTGTTCCCCAACATTTCCAGTACCCACCTGGCATCATACCATCATTACAACACTGTTGACTATAGAGCCCTCACAACTGCGTTCTCCACCCTTCCTAAGGGACAGCCATGGAGCAAATAGAATAAATCTCCACATGAGGCTTCCAGCCTCGTTCTCAAGCACCTCTTCACCCTGGATGCTCCACATTCTTTCCTCTACTGCGCTCCCTGCCCGCATTCTTTACTGCCCTCCCTTCTGGGGAGCAGGTGGTAGGCTTCTCACTCACCATGCAGGCACATGCCACAGTGGGGCATGGCGGGAACTGGGGGGTGGGGGGGGAAGGCATGGGCTTGCTTTTGGGCCAAGGCTGGAGCAGGAGTGGCGGTCTCTCAAGTGTACAGGCCGTGGCCAGGCCCAGTTAGCACCGGCCGATTCACGGAACTGCCACAGTGGGGTAACCAGCAATGTGGCACCCCTGCAGTGAGGTAGTGCAGCCCCTCAATCCCTGACTCAGGGTTGCGGGTCTGCGCCACTCCACCTGGGCATCCTTCCATGCAGACAGTCTTAGCCTCTTGTTTCCCGCATCTTGGGGCCACTGCAGATCCTCGCTCTCCTCGGGCGAGGCAGATCCCCTCCTGCCGGACCCCTGCTCTGGCCCGAGCCCCCTCCAGTGCACCCCGCCTTGACGCCGCTCTGTGCCCCTTGGGCTGCCGGCCTCCTGGCCAGCTGCTTCACCAAAGCCACAGCACCTGGGAGCCGCCCCTCAGGCAGGGGCCTGTCTGTGTACCTGTGGAACCCCTGGCTGTGGCTCCGGCTAGCCTTTTCACTGTGGAAGCTTCCTTTTCCTTCAGGGGCTCTCCTCAGACCCCAGGGAGCTTGGCTCCTGTGGCCTTGCCCCTCCGTGGTTCCCTGCAGCCTCCGCTCCACTCGGCTCTCCTGGGCTGCCCACCTGTCAGAATGCTGCCCGGGCGCTCTGCAGTGGGCAGCAGGGTCCTGGGGCAGGGTGTGGGGTATGGGGAGCAGCTCCAGTAAAGTAGTAAACCCTAGGTCTGCATTGGGATTTGGCTGTGGACAATGGGGGGGAGTCTGCCTGGACAGGATGAAATGGAGCTTAGACCTGGAGTGCCGTCCCTGGCCCTGAAGCCATGCCCACCCTGTGAATGGTCATCCTGTTATGGCTTCTGGGCCTAATTTGCATATTACCTCTTTATATATTAAGATTATTTTATATAGCATTATCTCTCTATATAAAAGCCAAGCGACTGGAACAACAGAACAAACAGAACGATTGGAACAACGGTCACTATGATGTGCACTCTGGTGGCCAACATGCTTGATCAGGGCCTTGATCGGTGCCCCCAACCTCCCACAGTCCCTCCCCCCAGCCAGCCCAGCCCCTATGGGCATCCCCACCCTGGTTGGGGGTGAGGCCCCCTGGCCAATCACTAAGTACCCCTCCCCCACCTGATTGGCCCCCATTGGGGCAGGCCTGTCCAGCCAGACCCCACCTGTGCACAAATTTGTGCACTAGGCCTCTAGTTTATTTATATTTATCCATATATTTACAATTTTTTTTTATCTTTATTCTTTCTTGCAAGCCAGACTTTTTCATATGTGCTATTTCTCATGTTACTTAAAAATTTTTTTTCTGGCCTGCAGATATTTTCTGGATTGTCTCTTTCAATTTTTGAAATATATATGGGTATTTTATAAGATTTTATCTTTTAATTGGAATATCTAAACTTGTTTCTGATTTCTGATGAATGTTGTCTTTATAGTTCCAATTCATTTAGCATATATTTAATAAGGGCTTACTATGTGCCAGGCACATTTCTAAATACTGGGGATTCAACAATGAACAAAATATTAAAAGGCCCTGATCTTCTGGAGCTTACATTTTAGTGATCATGTTTTACATTAATGAAATGAAAACTACCATGTCTAACTTCTGTCTAGTCCTTCTATGGCCTCATCACAATAAAAGAATTTTACAGTCTTGAATTTAGTATCATGGCTCCTTTACCTTCGTTTGTCCATTTGTTACTTCAGTGGATTGAATTTGAGCTCTTTCAATATCATGGTCATATCCAGTACACATTGCATATTCAAATTTAGTCTTCCACCACTGAGCTGCAATTACAGACAATTTTGTTTTATCAAAATGCTCAGATGTTCAATTTATTATCTCTGTGATGCTTCTAGAACATTTTGCCTCTGCAGCTCCTAACCAAGGGTATGAAAACAAATGAGAGTGTGTTCTCAGTTACCTATGGATACATGAGTAGACACCTCATGGTGTGCACTCATGGCTCAGCCCAAATTCCATGCACCCTCTGGCTCATCTAAACTACCAAGTCTTATCCCATCATAATGCCTGGAGTCGCTATCTCAAATCAGGTCCAGGAAACACACACACAAGTAAATGAGGGCTAGAAGGCAGATTTTCCTTTGTCAGTGCTCCTCCTTCCCCTTGTTAAGTGGGATATGTTTTCTTTATTTGTGCATATTTTCCAGTCTCTATTTGGTTTTGTTTAAAATATATACACATATATTTTAAATTTTTCTCTTTTCCAGACTCTGTTTTGGATGGCCTAGCCCCATTTTATAGTACTTGGATGTGTGATATGTGTTTGATCCTGGGTTCACTGATGGCATTTTTCACCCTACTCATTTTTGGTCTCCTTTATACCCTGAAAGGTAAGCGAGATGGCGAGGGTGGGAGCTCTGATGATATTATCACCTACTAGAGGCCTGGTGCATGAAATTCGTGCATGGGGTGGAGGGTGTGTCCCTCAGCCCAACCTGCACCCTCTCCAATCTGGGACCCCTAGAGGGATGTCTGACTGCCCACTGGGATTGGGCCTAAATGGCAGTTGGACATCCCTCTCACAATCCAGGACTGCTGGCTCCCAACTGCTCTCCTGCCTGTCTGCCTGATTGCCCCTCACCTCTTCTGCCTGCCAGTCTGATCACCCCCTAACCACTTCCCTGCCAGCCTGATTACCCCAAACTGCCCTCCCTGCCAGCCCAATTGCCCCTAACTACCCTCCCCTGCAGGCCTCACCCCCCCAACTGCCCTCCCCTCTTGGCCATCTTGTGGCGGCCATCTTGTGTCCACATGGGGACGGCCATCTTGTGTGTTGGCATGATGGTCAATTTGCATATTTAACTTTTATTAGATAGGATACCTCCACCTGAATCCCTTGTGTGGTTAACCTGCACTCTGAAAATTCTGTTATAAGGTCAAATAAGCTTATCCACATTTTTCTTCTACATCAGCAAGCAGAATGGGAACATTAGCAATTACCTCATGCCTTGTTAAATGCTCATCCCATTACATTACCAAGTCCTCCTTCGCTGATAGAACACATTCGTGTGGGAATGGAGGCTTTACCATTTACATCACAGACTGGGTAGTACCAGAGAAAGACCTCAGCCCAACCATGCCTAGCTGGTGACCAATTAATTGTAGAAAGTTTGCTGCAGATTCACAAGGAAGGTTCCCTTTGACATTTTGGTGGAACTCTTCCTTCAACTAAAACTTATGATATGGTAATGAAGGCACATGTATAGGGAAGGGTATCATACCATCCATATCATAAGCAATTCCCATGTAAGAGTCAATATAAATAAAAAAAAAAGACAGATGTAATAGGCTAAGAGCCAGAGCAACCAATGAAAACATATTTTATACTTTTTTGAGTGCTGTGGCTCCAAATCCTAATTAATTATTTAATCATTTTTCTTGTCTCAGACTAATAAAGGGTGTCCCAAAATTCATGCAAGAAGTAATTTTGATAGAAGACACAGGTTTATAATTAAAAATTGCAAATGTTTTATTGATTCATAAAGTATACAGTATAAGGTTATGTATGGAATAGCATATGGGGTAAATGGCCTCCACGGCTTTGCTGGCAAGTACGCACTCTTCTGTTGAAATTTCCCCTGACTGTTTTGCATAAATGTGGCTGAATTTCATTTATGCAGTGCTCAATTTCCTCCTTCAAGGTGTAGGTGGTCGTGGGCTTGTTAGCATAAACCTTAGACTTCAAAAAAACCCAAAGAAAAAAGTCCAACGGCGTTAAATTGCACAATCTGGGCGGCCAATTCTGATCACCAAAATGGGAAATTACATGACCAGGAAATGACTCATGCAGTAATTGAATTGTTTCTCGAGCTGTATGGCATGTGGCACCATTTTGTTGAAACCACATGTCATCCACATCCATATCTTGCAATTTAGGCACAAAAAACTGGATTATCATGTTGTGATAGCTAATGGTGTAAAATTTAAATCTTGTGTGAATTTTGGGACATTCTTTAAATCAATGTAGTCCATTTAGGGACCTGGGGGTCATATAGTGAGAAAGAATAGAGTCTGTATCTAAGCTGCCCTTCCAGACCTGTGAATAAAACTTTGAAAAAAATCCCACTGATTGCAACTTTTCTCATTTTGCTTAAGTTTGGTATTTAGTTTTAGAGGTTTTTTCTATGACGTGGGTCTTAGATCCCTAAATTTTAGTATTTTTTGTAAGCATTTACCCCCATTCTAGTATTGGGAATAGAAAAAGGTGAAGACATTTGGGTAGTTACAGGATCTGAATGCCTGTATCTTATTATTTACTATCCACGTATTACACCAATAATATCCCAAGGGAAATGATGAACATAAACATGGCTAAGGAAATTGCCACTCCTTAGTATTAAAAACTTTCTCTATAAAAGAGTTAACTTCAATAAGTGTATATTGGCCCTACTGCTATTTAAATTTAAGTTAAGCCTCAGACCATAAACTAAAATGGCACCAAATAACTTAGATCTGTAAGTTCAGCGAAGACTTTCCCTTTAACTTGACTATTCCACTGTGAAGGCTGGCTCACACAAATAGGGCAAGATATCAGAAAGGAAATTAGGACAAGGGCATGAAAGGTCGGACAAATGTGTGTTTGCCCCAAGAGAGATTTATATTTAGGGTCTGCTTCCTGCCAGACATGATAATGAAGGCATGAGAACAGGGAGAGGTAGCATACCATCCAATGAGCAATTTCCATGTAGGAGTCCCTGCCAACAGAAAAGAGCAGAAGTAACAGCATAAAAGCCAGAGAAGGGCTGTACTCATTCTAACAGGCTCATTTCATCTCCTTCTTGCCAATGCTCAGAGCTTTCCCTTCTGTCTAAGAAAGAATTAGATAAATTCCAATTGGTCATAATTTGGTGGTGTCCAAATACCCACTACTGCTCTAAGCCCTTGAATTGGGGGGTTTCTTTTATGAAAGGGGCCAAAGTATGTGTCTTGTCCTGGCTTGTTTCTATCTAAGTCAGTGGTTCTCAACCTGTGGGTCACGACCCCTTTGGGGGTCGAATGATCCTTTCACAGGGGTCGCCTAAGACCATCGGAAAACACATATATAATTACATATTGTTTTCATGATTAATCACTATGCTTTAATTATGTTCAATTTGTAACAATGAAAATACATCCTGCATATCAGATATTTACATTACGATTCATAACAGTAGCAAAATTACAGTTATGAAGTAGCAAGGAAAATAATTTTATGGTTGGGGGTCACCACAACATGAGCAACTGTATAAAAGGGTCGCGGCATTAGGAAGGTTGAGAACCACTGATCTAAGTCAAGCAATTGCAAAGCTGTCAGGCTTACTTTTCTAGAATTGCAATGTCAAAGGAATGAGTCATAGCTGTGATATTTGAGTTAACATTTCACTTCCAAACCATTTAACTCCCTTAACAAATGTATTCTAACTATCCCAATGTGGATTTGAACTACATTTGTCTTAGGAGAGACTCCACTCCCTTAGCTAAATGATAGACTTCAGGTTTATAGTAGGCAGTGCTCAAATTTTGTGACTTGTGTGATATTTAAGCCAAAATCTTTGCTTCTCTGTATATATCTCTTCATCCACTCAAAGTTCTTGAATGATACATGTAATTTACATTAAAATGATTGTTGATATTGGTTTCTGCTATAGAATTTAACCCTAAAAAGCATTACAATCAAAGACATTCGTTTCTTTCTCCAATTTTATTCTGTCTATAAAATGTAAATTTTGATCTTGATTTTCATTGTCCTGTGAATGTCAGTGAGTACCATCATGGCCTCTGATGTGCACTCCTCCCCATATCTTAAGTTTAACTAGACTTGAATCCATGTACCTTCAATAACAAGAGTCACTGCTTCCCTAACAGATATTTCACAAGAATGAACATCTGACTACTCATCTGAAACACAGGATACTTGAGGACAGTAGAACCAGCAATGTAAACTTTGAGGAGAAGGCATTTTGGACCAAGGACCCATACTTTTGTACAGAGCCAAATAATTACAATGAATGAGAGCAAAATAAAAAAATTCATAGATATTTTGTAGTCTTTCAGTATATTTATTACATATGTATTTTCCTTGCAAATTTACATGAGAAATTACCTAGGCCAAATGTAATCACACCATAATTAACATCTCAAGCAACAGAATGCCTATATGTAGAAAAACTGATAAGCTAAGAAACAAATAAATGTACATAAAATCCTGCAATAATTCCAATGTACCATAATCAGCTATATAAATGGACTTAAATCTCTGATTTTTAAACTGAGACTAAAATTTGATAAAATTACAAAATAAAAGATTTGTGATTCATGACATAGGCTGTGATGATTACTTAATTTTATGTGTCAACTTACTCATAGAGAGAGAACAGCTGTCAAAGGGTAGGGGTGTTGCAGAGCTGAGTGAAGAGGTGAAGGGATTAAACAACAACAAAAGAAACCAACGCATACACAGACAACAGCACAGTGATTACCACAGGGAAAGGGGGGTGGGAAAAGAAAGAAAAGGATATGGGGGGTAAATGGTGATGGAAGGAGACTCGACTTGGGGTGGTGAACACATAATACAATATATAGATGGTGTATTATAGACCTGTACACCTGAAACCTATATAATTATGGTGATTACCAGAGGAAAAGGGGGGCGGGGGAAGAAAAAAAAGGGTATAAGGGGAGTAAATGGTGATGGAAGGAGACCTGACTTATGGTGGTGAACACACAGTGCAATATATAGATAATGTATTATAAAAATGTACACCTAAAATCTATATAATTTTATTAACCAAGTAAAGGCCTGGTGCACAAATTTGTGCACAGCTGGGGTCCGGCCAGCCCAGCCCAATCAGGGCCCATCGGGCAGGACCGTGGGGAGGGGCCATGGGCAATTGGCCAGCTAGCCCCATCCTAGCTTGAACTCCCAGTTGAATTCCTGGTAGAGGGGACAATTTGCATATTAGTCTTTTATTATATAGGAGAACATAACTCCAATAAATTCAATTTTTTAAAAAGAACTGTAAATAAATAACATTTTATGCATCAACTTGTATCTGTGAGGATGTTATTGGAAGAGATTAGCATTTGAATCACTAGGCTGAGTAAAACGGATTGCTCTTACCAATATGGACAGGTAATATCTAATCCAATGAGGGCTCAAATAGAACAAAAAAGTAGAGAAAGAGCAAATTTGTTTTCCCTTTTTGGGTTAGGATGTCCATATTCTCCTTCCCTTGGATATCAGAGCTCCTGGTTCTCAGGCCATTAACCTTGACCTGGGGGTTATGCCATTGGCTTCACTTGTCCTCAGGCCTTCAGACTTTGCTGAATTATACCACCAGCTATCCTGGTATTCTATCTATAAAATGGTAGACCATGGGGTTGTTTTGTTCTTCAAAATCGCCTGCACCAATTTCTGTAATAAATTTTCTGTTTGGTATATTTTTCTGGAGAACTCTGACTAATAAATATGCTTAAAACAATGATAAAAGCAGTTTCAATGTAGAAGGATGGGGAAATAAATACCTAGAAAATAATAGCTGTATAACTACATTATTACTAGTAATTATACAGAAAACTTAATTGCTAGTAAATAATAATAATAGGTGTCAGTGTTTTAAATTTTAGTCATTCTGGTTGGCATGTACTGCTATCTTATTGGGGTAATTTGTATTTCTGTGATGACTACATATATAGCCCAGTGTAAAGTATAGGGGAAAGCAATGCATTTGGACATGATAACAATTGTCTATCTCAGTGCAAAATAATCCAAAGCAATTGTAAGTGTCTGCATAAGACTTTAAGAGAGTGAACCGTTGTACCTTAATCCAAAATACCAGAGAAGGAAAAGGGTGATGTGCACCTAATACCTCAAAGAAATATTTTTTGAGAGTGTGGAGTTTAAATTGCCCATATAAGATAGTTAACTTTTGAGGCTTAGAAAAAAAAGAAAGTACACAAGGGGGACACTGAGTAAAGCTAAGACATAGAGTGTTTGTAACATTGGCTTGTTTTTAAGCAGTCTTGCTTCTCTTCTAAGTTCTTGGTAATTTGAAAAGGTTCACTGTGAGATCTGTATGCTTGGATCAGAACTAGGAACACCCTAATAGGTAGTTCATTGAATGACAGAGTTAAATAAGGTGTGGAGTTTGAGGTGCTGATTCAGCATATTTTGATAGAATTAATCTTAATATAAAAGGTGACAAGGGAACTTGCTCTTCTCTCTCTCTCTCTCTCTCTCTCTCTCTCTCTGTGTGTGTGTGTGTGTGTGTGTGTGTGTTTGCACAAAGAAGAGGTCATAAAAGCACACAGTGAGATATGGTTACCTACAAGCTGGGAAAAGTGGCCTTACTACAAATTCTTGGACTTTTGGCTTCCAGAACTTTCAGAAAATAAATGTTGGTTATTTAAGTCATCTCGTTATGACACCCAAAGCTGACCGATGCATTTCCTCTATAAAACAATAAGTAAACTGGGGAAAAATATGTCTGAAATCAACTTTTATCAGAACTCTGGAATCTAACCAAAAGCTTGCAATAACCATGGAAACAATCAGAAAAAAAATCTGAATTAAGAACAGTGATCTGATACATATAGAGAGGAACCCACATGAATGAGATACTCTCACAAAGATAGAGTGAAACCAATATCTATTCTTATTGCTTCTGACTACTTCAGGATTATTGCTTCTGACCTTGTTGAAGAGACTATATTGCAGAATCTAGGGCCCTTCATCACACTGTTAACATATACATTTGGCTTAGGAGTCAGAGAAGATTTAGGAGAATTTATGGGAAAGTAGAGCAATTGCAGCTCTAACTGCACATTTCCCTTGTAACCCATTTAACCTGAAAACATAAAAGAAAGGGAATTCTGGAAAGTGTATTTCAGCCTAGACAAGTTGAATAATTATAAAGCTATTGCAATGTCCTTAAATCAAAATTTTAATATCTGAGAAAGGACAAAATCATCTGAACGTAAAATAAGAGAAAAAACAGACAATAGAAACAGACCTAACATAGTAATTAAAATAGTAAAACTAGCTGATAAGTTTTAACGAACTATAATTGATTTGTTATAGCATGTGAGGAAGAGCTACATAACATTACCATAGAAGTGGAATCTAAGAAAAATACTTGGTATTTCTAGAAGAATAAAATATAGCTTCTGAACTGAGAAAAGAGATTTTACTTTAGTTTAAGAAGACATTTATAAACACCACGATCTCCTGGCTCTTGAGTCAAATTAAAAGCAAAGTTATACCTTTACCTTCATGTGAAAAGTGCAGTCAATGCCTGAATTTTTGTAAGCCAGTATTTCTGCTTCAAGTTTTCTAATTTTTCAGAAAGCCTATCTCCCTGATAATTTAATGTGGAATCTGAGAGCATCCCTTGGCTAAAATACTGCAGATTCCCACTGTATTTAATAAGATTCAGTAAATTTTCTTGAACAAATTCTCTCCAATCTGTAATATAAAAATAACAATAAGCTAAATTATGCACTGGTTATAATTTGTTGTGTAACTCTTTGTTTAAAGTATTCAATTATTTGCCAATTCAGCCAAATACTTAATAAATATTTTTCCTTATTTATTTATCCAGACACAACTATCTGGAATTTGGTGTGCAGTTTATGTTTTTGTAGATATTATCTATGTGCATGTTTTTATAAGTATATATTTCATATATCATTACTTTATTTTATTTCAAATTTATTCCACTATTACTAATCTTGAATTATTCTTTCTAAGGTGTACTCAGGTTTTAAAATTATCTATTGCTACAGACTGAATGTTTGTTTCCCCCTGTCCTCAAAATTCAACTGTTGAAACCAGATTCCAATGTAATGGTATTTGGAGGTGGGATTTCAGGGTATGAATAGGTCATGATAGTGAAACCTTCATGAATAGTAACATGCCCTTATCAAAGAAGCTCCAGAGAGCTCCCTCAGCCATTCCATCATGTGAGGACACAGCAAAACGACAGTTGTCCATAAACCAGAAAGTCGGCCCTGAGCAGACACTCAATTTATTGGATCCTTGATCTTGAACTTCCCAGAAATTAAGAGAAACTAATTTCTGTTGTTTCTAAGCCACCTGGTCTAAAGCATTTTGTTATAGCAGTCTGGTTGGACTATGGCATCTGCTTAAGATATATGCATGGTATTCAAAGGAAATTTATTTATTTAATAAATTTTATTTCCACCTTGAAAAATAATTTTTTTTTTGTTATTGGTGGGAAGAGGTCCTCCTCATCCCTACCTGTTGCTCAGGGGAGTGGGCTTCTTGCAGTATCCCAAGAAAATGAATTTCCTGAGACTTGCATTAGAGGATGAGATACTGTAGAAAGCGTTACTTCTATGGAATCAAAATCTTGAGTTTCCAAGGTCCTATTTCCCTCAGGCCCCTCAAGGAAGAAGTCCCATTTTGTCTTTAGCAGGTCGAAAATCAGAGCCAGTGTCCAGAGCTTCCATTCCATGTTGGAGCAATCCAATCCAGCATTAAGCTAGCTTAGTTTGTGTTCCCAGTTGCAATCCATCAGTCCATTGCATATGGGGTCCACAGGGCCACATGACTATGAAGGAAACACAGGCGAATGCAACAAAGTAGGAATAAGAGGGTCCCACAAGTCAAAAGCCAAGAGCCCCATAAGCCAAGAGAGAGCCAAGAGCCAATAGTGCTTTTTTTTGTTGTTTGGGAGATTATGTATCCCAAAATTTTCATGGGCTTGCATTAGCTCCACCCACTCTGGCCAAAGATCTTTGTCCCTAGGTTTGATTGACAGAAAATACCAACTTCACTGTGCATGTGTCTATCCCCCTTTGTTGGACGCCTTCCATCAGTGACCTGCAGGGAATGACCAGTGGTGTCCTGAGGAGTGTGAAATTACAGCTTCCTGATGAAGCTGCCTAGATGACATGCCTAAAAAGTCTGTCCTCCCTTCAATCTTTTCCTATTATTAATAACTAGAGGCCAGGTGCACAAATTTGTGCACCAGTGGGGTCCCTCAGTATAGCCTGTGGGGATCTGACCTAAACTGGTAGTCCAATGCCTCCTGCTGCTCCTGCCTGCAACTCCTGATCATCCCTGCCCCACTGTGCCTGCCACCACCACTACTCAGTAGGCTCAGTGCCACTCCACTGAGGTCTCCAAGAACGCACTGACCACCAAGGAGCAGCTCCTGCATTAAGGATCTGCCCCCTGGTGGTCAATACGCATCATAGCCACCAGTCAACCGGTCATTCAATTGTTAGGCCGCTTAGGCTTTTATATATAAAGACTAGAGGCCCGGTGCACAAAAATTTGTGCACTCGGGGGAAAGGGGGGTCCCTCAGACCAGCCTGTGCCCTCTTGCCGTCTGGGACCTCTCGGGAGA